AAGTGAAATGTATACTTATCCCATCTGTGGTACTTATTGGTTAGCAAACCTCCTGTTTGGTTAACTAAAACGTAATAATTACTTCGTGTGTGAGAGATACTTATACCTTTTCACGTGTCGAACTCTATGGAATTTATCACTATTTGTAAAAATTGTTATTAAATGTTAATTGAATTATGATGGCAACAACACACTGCTTATTTTACGTTTTCTATTTCTTTGTGGAAACCGTTGAGGTTTGTTCTACCAATTCTGCTTGCATTTCTTATGATGCAGACTAGCGATAGGCCAACTCGAGCTTTGTGTAAGCCGAGTTCAAACCGAGTTGATAGCAAAAATCTAAAATCTGTAAATTCGCAAACCGCGTTCTGGTTTGAATTGATGGATGTGTAAGTCAATAAAAAATACCCGCTTATAAACAGTCTTTCGGATGGTACCGAAGTAGCTGGTATGCAGAGGTATTTTTGCGCTATTTTAGCTAGTTTCGGAAATAGACATTTTTTTTTACTCCAAAATTGGACATGTTGTAGTGGAGTTGGACTTCTCGACAGTTTCTGATATTTTTCGGTCTATAACACCCCAAATATCATCTTCAATAGTAGAAGCAGCTCCAAAAACAGTAGATGTAGAAGTTTGGTCGGTTGAATTCAAGGTTTCCGTTGATAAGTAGTCGTTTAGTTCATTTATTATCCACATTTGCGCATTGTTAGCATTGCTTTCTGATCTTAATGCTGATTTTTTATATCGTGGATCAAGAAAAGTTGCTTTTGCTGCTATACTATCAATCTCATAAACCTCACAGGGGGTTTAACAGCGAGAGTTCTTTGTAAGTGCTTGCCTGTCTGTGTCTTTGGAGTTTTGCTATTTATGGTATGTCGTAGAATACAAGAGCTATAATGATAGCGATGGATACTTTTCCCCGGATAAAATTGCAGTTACCTTTTCTAACGGATGTAAGAACGCCACTACGTCTTCAGTAAATAACCACTCTTCAGAATCCAGATTCGGTGGAGGTGATACCAGTGTCGGTAAAGTAGTAAAAAACGGAACCTTGGGCATGAATAGGCATTCGACCATATAAAAAGTAGGTACTGTTTAGGTACTGAACATCTTGCTTTAATTTGATTACATCCAAATTTATTTGCTTCTGCATGGCGACCAAAGCATATGAAGATTTTGTGCTATGTTTAAAATGTGAAGCAATCGCCCGGCATTTATTTATTACTTATAATAACTGATTATTATTAGCGGTGGTATCTGCTAAATTAATTCCATCTTTTTCTATACAGTTTTTCACAGCAAGATTAAGAGTGTGGGCTACACAGAAATGGTTTTGCTTATTTAAAATTTCGCTAACTGCTTTTTGCATTAAACCTGCATTGTCTGTCACTATTTTACAACTTATCTACCACTCGCCCAATATTTGTTGAATAACATTAATTTGCTATATTTTCAGCTGTATAATTATCTTCAGTTTTATTTCTTCTATAAAATAGGTGGTCGCACTAATAAAACTTTTATTACTGTCTGACGGCCAAATATCTGATGTCAAAACAATATGTTCAACATCCTGCAATTTTACGAGTTGTAGACTCAATTTTATACTTTTCTTCCAACACCTGAGTCAATTTTTTCCTCGAAGGCAGTTCATAATCGGTATTTAATATTTGGTGTATTTGCGCAAACCTTTATTTTCGACAATTTGTAAAGGTTGGTAATCCTGAACTATCATTTGAATCAACGCATCATCTCCAGATTTCTGCAACATTTTTTGCAGAAAATGGTACAGTTAAGCTAGTGTGCTTGAATCGTTTTATTGGAGATTCAACATCAAGAGATGAAGAAGAAGCCGGTGGTAGCGACAAAGGCGGTTCGATTAAAATGTTATTTTTAGTTTGATTCGAGTTAGTAACAGTCTAACTCGAATTGACTTGAAATAACCTCAACTCGAGATAGCCCGGTTTGATAAATCGAGATCTAATGCAGACGACCGGAAGATGGTTAGTCTTTTTGATCTTTTTAGAGATCGTCCGGATAGCCTTTTGGATGCTGTTCTGCAATCTCTAGCAATCCTTTAGCCGTCTATTCCTGTCCATTCGTGAAACGTGCTTATTCTAGAGTCTTCTGCGTATGCGTGTCCACCTCATTACAGTTTTCGTGTCGCACTCCCGACGAATTTCCTTGCTTCTTCTGTGACTTCATAATGTATTTCAAGTGACAACTCTCAAAATCGCCATCTCTTAGCATCTTCTGGGTGACTTCTGTTGTGATATTTAATTCCAAATAATTATTATATTATATTATATAGTAGCTATTGTAGTTCATGTATGTAACTGCAATCAATGTTGCATCGTCCATGTGTCATATGATGTATCCATTACCCATTTGTTCTATAATCCGACAATTAAGATATTTATTAAGAGCAGTGAACTGAATGGGTCGGCCGTTCCAATTTTTCAGAAATCTTTGCTGTTCCTCGCTTGTTGTTATGTTCTCGTTGTTGCTAAATTGCAAATTTTTTGAGATATTCAGTTATTACCTTCTTCTCCAATATCATCCAATATCAATAAAACTAAATTTATAACGTCCACTAACTATACCTACAACAAATATAATTTGTAGTTGATTCATTTGCTAGATATGTAACATCCGACGCTGCTTTGTAAGTTGAAGTATCTTCCTGCGGTAGTATAATCAGGTCCGTCTACAAAGCAGTAATTTGGATTTAAAAGTTAGCAGATCGTTTTTCTTTCGTGATTATGACTACAGGCTGTCTAAATTCATGTTAAGATTAGTGGTACGAAGTCCTATGTCACGCGTGTTCTATGCATGCCTATGCATGCTCTGTTATCATTGGTACAATACTTGGTATAATACATTTGCACATAGTAAGATTGTGTTTTGGACATGAATTACCACCAGTAAAGCACTATATATTCGAAGATCTCACTCACTTCTCAAAATCCCAACGTCATTACCAACCTTTTTTTCTATATTCGGAAGATACACTATGATTGTTCTTTTGTCATCCAGGACAATACCCATGTGTTTTCCTTTCTTGGTATCTGAAATGAATTTTATATCACATCTAATTATGCGATTTCATGCTTGTCCCAGTCTCGATCCGTACTCACTATCTCCGCTCCAACAATGCCCTGTTATTACCTTTCACCACAGTCAACAGACCATTGTTGTACCGAATAACTCCTTAAACTTTTATATCAAAAACTTTTTCCAAAACCTAAGTCTCAGTGTTGGTCTTTGAGGACAACTTGTTGGCACATTCTTTACAGAATTTTTGCAAAGTTGTTGGAACACCTATGATCACCTTTCAAATTTCGACACTTAACTTTATGTATTTAATTAGTCGAAAAATCTGTGAGCGTGTTTGAAATAGAGCACACTATTTGCTAATAAAATCGATTCTATGATGTACATAGCATCATATGACGTAGGATAACTTTTTAATTTTTAGGCAGATTTTTTTGCTTGGATTTCAAAAAGATCTATTAATACTATCATGCTATAAATTCCTTCGTTTTATTATCATTCTATCGCTAACAATTTGTATTGTTAGCATTATTCATATACGAATATGACACAACGCTAATACCCGAAGTTTCCCGGTGCAGTCATCATCAAATTCATCAAGACAACCACGTTGACGTTATGTCATCTTTCCTTGCTTATAATTGTGTGCGAGCCGGAGATAAATTCGTTGACAAAACATGCTGGGCGACGACGAGCCGCGTCTTGGAGTCGTATAACAAGACGTCTGGCTCGGAACAGAATGCCTTTAACGTTGTCTTCCAGGACTGAGAAAACATACCGATGCGATTCCGGCGTCTTTTGTGCCACCCCACAATGTATTACGTTAATTCCAGCGGTTTGTCTACTAGAGGGAGTTTAGAATGTAATATCTGCTGTGGGCAATAAAGGATTCTTCATTCATTCGTTTTAATAAATCATTGTTTCAAACAAGTCTTTGAATATAATACTTTTTTTTATTTTATTGTTCACAAATATTTCAAACTACCTACATTTTTATTCAAATAACCTAAAATAACCATATTTTTCAAACAAAGTTATGACGAACTAAATAATACTATAATGACAGGTAGATTCTATTCATTGAAAGAATTTTCTTTGTTTTTTAGTCTTTTACAGCTTTTTCTTCTGCCGGTTTGCTGGAAAGCGTCATTTTTAGGATGAACTGATTCTGAGTAGCACAGCTCCGAGTTCAATTAAAAATTATTACCTTCGCCATAAAACTTTTCCCGGAGTGTAATAAAAGAGGGAGAGCTCTTCTTGGCGCACTGGGCTGAGAAAAATTAATTGCCAGCTGCTTATCTCGGCGTTGGAGCCCTGTTAATACAAGAGGAGGGGTTCTCCTAATCCCTAATTCAATGACACCACCAGTTTTTTTTAAGGGGGGTCTTTCTGGTTGAACTTACGAGATGAGTTTTATTGGAAATTATGATTTAGTAATTTGGTTAAATGTGATACATTTACTATTAGTTACATAACATTTAATGGATCAAATATATGTGTCCATAAAAAGTACACTACAATCTCATTGTTATGTAACCATACCTACCTTTTTCTTACGACCCATACAAAACTGTCCATCCACCCGAATAATACCCGGAGATATTTTGTTCAGATACCCGAAGAAAGCCATTTTCATTTCCCCATACATTCCCTGACAATCGTCCATAGCCACAATAGATGACAATCGATCGCCAACTCTGATAAACACAGTTTCATTATGCGATAACGTCACGGAACAAACTTTAACATCAGGAGCACTGTCGAAAACGACTTTACCAATATCGTAAAAGTTTTTTCTTACTTTTTAACTTTTTTTGTATTAGTATTTGGTGTTCGTTTTAATTAATACAAGAAAAGTGTTTTAGCTGTATTGCTCATAATGAAACGCTATAGGGGAATCGAGAAACAATAATGATGAAAGGGTTGAAATGGAAAAACGTTGCTTTTTGTTTTCGCTTTCTTTTATTTCCTTTTGTACAATTATAACAAAAAAAAGAGGGTGGAAACAAAGTTTGCTTAAATCTAGTAATTATTATTTTTTTAACTATAATCTAATATTCACAGAATACAATACAATAATGCTGTATTATTTAGAAAAAAAATATTTACACATTACATATACATCAATATTTCAGTCAATTGAAAAATCACAGTGTATAATAAATTAAAATAAAAATCTAGCGACATTAGTACATCACCGGTACAGGTGCTCTTCTTAATTCTGTATCCGTCGATGATGTCGTGCTTGACGCGGGACTCGAGGACGTTGAATACATCATTGGTGACATCATCGGCGGAATACTACTCATAGTCATAGTTGGAAACATACTCATGTGAGGTGTTGATGTAGTGAAAGGTTTTGGTGGAGATTGATATAAAGATGAATACAACGATGGATGTAAAGATGGCACCATGGGTTGTGAAGTCACCACAGTCTTTTCATGAGAACTTCCTAATCTAGTAAAATCGAAGTTTGGATTGAAATATGGATACGGTGTTCCCAAAGTATCTATCGGTGTGAAATAGGGCATTTGAAGATTGGAAAATCCCATTCCAGGATTTTTTAAAGCCGATTGCATCGGACCTTTAGGTTTCCTTCTTGGTCTGTATTTATAATCGGGATGTTCCTTCATATGCATCGCCCTTAATCGTTTCGCCTCGTCAATAAACGGTTTCTTCTCAGCTTCCGTTAACACTTTCCATTCAGCTCCTAACCGTTTTGAAATTTCTGAATTATGCATCTTGGGATTATCCACTGCTATTTTTCTTCTTTGGATTCTCGACCATACCATAAACGCATTCATAGGTCTCTTAATATGACCTTCACTGGATGTGGTGCTGGGCGTTTGGTGGTAATCTTCGATGATCGGTGCTCCGGGGTAACCGGGAGTGGGATAAAATGAATTGCCGGTAATATTGCTCATGTTGACACGAGGAAAGAGCAAAAAAAATCACACTCTGTGTAATAACTGTAACGTTAACAAACGAGACTTGGATGAAGACTGAGGGTTTTTGTCGCCTAACGAAGGATGTATAGGCAGAATGGGCGTGACGGTGAAAGTGGGGTGAAGTTGACCCCGCCTGTTTTTTCACTATTGGCCAGACTGTTTCCCACTACCACTAGGTCCGTAACCGCCAGCTTTATTATGGTCTTATTTTTCCTTTTTCTTTCATTTCCCACTTCGGTCTCTGCACGTTGGAAGCATTATATTTGAGTCGAATGCCGCTTTTATCGTGTGTATACCATTATTATTGCCGTGTTTGAGAAAGTCTTTTGTTGCAGAAATATGTTTAACTGTAATAATGGGTAGAGGAAACGTGCACTATTTTATTTGAGGTGTATACATATAATAATTATTATGTTACTTGTTATAATAGAAGAGTATAATAGTATTCAACTTGTTTTAAATTTTTGTTTTATGGTGTATGAAAATTTATATATCCTATTTTATTAGGTGTTATTAATTTATTTACTCCTGATGATGACAAACGTAACCGAAACCGGTTTATATCAATATTTTTTATTAGAGTAATTTTTTTCAAAATGTATTGTATTTGGGAGGTATCAAATTTTCTCGGAACCACTGTGAAACGGCGACTCAGTCAATGGTCCCAGGACAGCGGTCATATTGTAACCCTTATCCTGCCCCCGACATTGTGAACTGTAACGGTCACAATGTCCCATTGTTTTGCACAGTTCGGGTTTATTGTGCCCAGGGTTGTCAGGTACAAAGGGCACAGTTACACACAACACGTTACGTGCACGGTGTCGTTTCGTGGCCTGTTCGGCCCAATCCATTCAAACTATATTATTATTGTTATACTTCTGGACACGGCATAATACAAACCAGACACATAATTAACGTTCTCTATTTATTGTAAACGAACTTCGATTGCAGACACAACAATTTGCATAAAATTCATTTTAGTTGTATAAATAAGAATCCTAATAAGCAGCATTTATTTATTTCTGAAGGGATCTCTATTGAATTTTTTTCAATGGTGTCCCAAAATCCAAAAGTAACTGTTCCCACTTCACTACCATGTTATTATGTGGGTGAAAAGTGGTTATTACGTAACCACGGTAGGTGCTAAAGTGCGAAATGGAACTGACAAGGGCGGGTTCTGCGATCACCCATGTGTTTGTTGTGCCATGACCGCAGGGGGTACAATTAGGGCAGTGGGAGTGGTACCCGCGTTGACCCTTGATGGGACGTCGTTACACCCTAAAAACGTCCCCTAAAATCCGTTTTGATGGTATCTATTTTTTTCCTAGTAACAACTTCCTTGAAATATTGATTGTCCAAACCGGTTTATTATTAGTATAATTTTTGACGATTGCAAAAGGATATAAGACACGGACCATTGAAGACACCAAACATAAACCAAACAAAGCTCTCTTTTTGACGGGCAAAAGGGCGGTTCCTTCGAGCAACAAACGGCTGTGCACATTACGCATCGCTGCAAATCCACTTAGAGCTTTTCTTTGTAAAAAGCTCCGACGGGATGACCGCCACAAACAAATAGCCGAAAGAACCGCCCCCCCGTAATGCGGCTAATAGCCGCAGGAAGCGGGCGGCGCAGCGATCGCCGTCGTGCCACACGGCGGCCATTTAGGGAAGTTCCGTCGGCACCGGAAACATTAGCCGTTTATATCGCTCACAACCGTCCATTAATCATATCTCGTTTTCGTCTTTACACAACTAAAGACCATTATAAGTGATATTGTTATTGAAATTGTTGTTTTCCATTTCTGAAACTATTTCAAAACAAATAAAATTAATAGAAAATGTAAGATTTTTATGAAATGAAATGTTACTTTTAATGTTTATTATTTTATATTTAATAATGCTACATTTCTTTTCCAAATATGATTTAAGTTATACAATAATCTAAGTTCGAAATTACATTGTATGACAAAACTGACTGAATTGACGTTAGCTAACTTCTCTGTACCTAGCGCCATCTATTAAAATCTATTACAAGTAAAGATACCTAATTCAGTAGCTGATTAATGCCATGTCCATGATTACTTGGAAACCAGCGACTCGGTTGAATCTTTTTTTGCGCAGAAAGCAAAATACCTTACAAATTTTTTCGCCGAAATATGCCAGGATTTTCTGATGACTGTCTTTTTTCAATAGAAGTTGGCTCACCATTTGATTCACAAAAACTTTTTTGCATATGCAACAAGAATACTTTTTATCAACTTCGATGTAACATTTTTTGTTTTACCAAACGCACTGATTATCGAAGTTTTAACAGGTTTGTATCAATATCAGGTTCACTTCAATGACGCTATTACTAACAATAAGCATTAATTTAATTCTGTTACGATTGTTTTTTGTGTTAAATATCTGTGTGATTGCAAATAAACAGTTTGGGAAACTGTAAATTGTCACTTTTAGAATGCAGAGATCGTTGTGTTTGTTCCGAAATGAATGTAGTTCTGCTGAAAGCCGAGAACTGCCTTAGTAAGGAGAATCATGCTTAGACTAGAATATCTCCTAAGAGATTGGCCGAAATAGACAAGGAACCATATGAAACTTCTTTCCAGATTGGATACCCAAACAAAGTCGAAGGCTAGATTTTTCTCGGATTAGCAACATGGGTTGTGGGTTGGGTTGGGTTTGGGTTTAGGTTGGGTTGGGTTGAGGTATGTTATCCTGCCGGATGTAAGATGGCATTGCTTCATGATGCACCTTTTATTAGTTTATTGGTCATCGGCCAGAATTTCGTCTCTCCAAGTCATTCCAAGGCGGATTGAACACTGACAATATCGTTCGGTGTTCCTGTTTGGCTTTGGGAGATCTTCTTAATGATTTGACTCACCAATTTGACCGACTGTTTTTTACTCTTCTACCAACGCTTCAAGAACGGTATATATCTTCGATTGATTTAATTCATAATCCATATTAACCAATTATTAATTAATAATGATGTTTCCTTTGCACTTATATTGGTTATTTTATTTCAATTATGCAACTGTACATTACATTACATTACATGTTTCGACTAATAAAAGTCATCCTCAGAATCGTTGTCACAAAATTTTTTACGAAAAGCGATTTTTACGAAAACTTTTCGTAAAAATTTAGCGTAATTTGTATTGTTCGTCCATTTTACAATTTTATTAGTAAAAATTTTTTAATATTTTAATCTACAATTTTAATTTGTTTGTTTTTGTGTGTGACAAAATATCTTTTATCGTGGTTATTTACATTTTGGAATGTTCATCACTTTGATTTTGTGACAAAGAAAACATAGTTCAAAAAATTGACGATGTTAGAAAATTGACGAAATTGATGATTGATCTTAGATGGGTTGGGTTGATTTGGGATGGGTAGGAAGTAACTTTTTGGATTTTGGACATCTTCAAAGTTACCTGAAATGTCAAAATTATTTCATGCATAATCAAAATTTGAAAAAAGTCTGCTATAGCTTTTACATATTTAGCCATATTATCGTCTTTTATTACGGCCATATTATTCTGGTCTTTTTCAATTTATTGTCTAACCGTTTTCGGCTTACGCCATCATCAAAGACATTAGTAATATAAATTAGATTTTAGCAACTCATTTTCCATTTTGTTGTTCATATAACCGGCTTCACAAAGGTATACAAGTTAAAATTATAAATATAAACATTAAAATTCACGGTAAAAGTTAAAATTTTTCACATTAAAATATAAAACAATACTATAAAACTCGGATTGACGGGTTAATGGCATTAGTGTCCGTCAATGATCAACAAAATGAAAAATGAGTTGCTAAAATCTAATTTATATTACTAATGTCTCCGATGATGGCGTAAGCCGAAACAGGTTAGACAATAAATTGAAAAGGACCAGAAAAAGTATTGCTTTTTATTGAATTTATATTAACCACATAATTGTTATGTATCCAAATCTTTATATCGGTTTGAAAATCCAAAAAGGCAAGAATTTTAACAAATTTATATTTCTTAGTTTGCAATTTGCAAAGTGTATTTTTGAAAGGACACTTTTTTTACATTTTTATTTAGGCAAGGGCGGCCAAATTCATTTCTGCCTGTAGCGGCCAAATCTCTGACGCCGCACCTGCACAGGAATTAGTATCTCTTTTAGGTGTTGGACATTGCAGATAATAATCAAGTTCAACCCCATTAGGACTTTTTTCATCGAATACAACTTTATTTATATCAGGTTTGTCATTGTTGCTAATGATTGAATAATCATTGAATGCTAACCATTCAGGATCCATTTAAAGAAATTAGTATCTCTTTTAGGTGTTGGACACTGCAGATAATAATCAAGTTCAACCCCAATAGGTTCATTGAATACAACTTTATTTATATCAGGTTTGTCTTTAGCAACCTCATTGTAACAATCCCAATACGATATATAAAATCTCTTGTTGCAGTTTCGTCTAGTTTTCTTCTCTTCGCTTGTAATTCATCATCACATTCATTGTATCCTGTAGAGGCCAAATCTCTGGCGCATAGAAACCTAGGTGTGTATGTACAGTGTGTTAATTAATTATCGTACCCGACGTCATCATTGCAAGTATGCAACCATTATCACAGTATTTTTATTGCAATACGCTATTTGCGTATGATGCGTATTGCACTGTGATATTGGTTGCATACTTGCAGTGATGACGTCGGGTGTGATAATTAACTAACACACTGTAGTATTTATGTACTATTAGTTGAAAACGATGTATTACAACAATATATTAAAAAAAGTGTTGTTGTTTATTATTTTAGGGTGAAAATGAATGTAAAGACTCCGACATATAAAGTTATATAAAAGAAACAATGAAGTTATGGGTTGGTTAGTTTATATTGTAAAGTTAGTATGTAGGTCGTGTGCGGTAAGCACTCTACCGGAGATATTCCATTATCCGGGACCGATTTTTCCGCGCCGAAAATCCTTAATCCAACAAATGTAACCCATTTCCCCGGCATAAGGAGCGCGGTCCGCTGCAAATAAAATACACAAAT